AAGAGAAAGTCAAAGGCGTGGTGTCTATGAACGAGGACTTTGAGCTGAAGTTCTGGGTCACGACTCCCGAGGAATGGCAACGACTGGGCGTCAAGTTTTTGCAGTTGAATACCGCAGACATACTGCACGCCCCCACTCAAGACAAACTGCGAACTGGTGTCCAATTCATACAGCAGTTCAACGGCACCGACAGCTCCGTCTACGTCCACTGTAAGGCCGGCCGCACCCGTAGCGCTACACTCGTGGCCTGTTATCTCATGAAAGTCAGTATCACTTGAATATTACTCGCGATTATTGCCATTGAATTGGCGTTTGAATTGTTTTGTTGATTGGATTACTGATTGGTTGATGTGTTGATGCGATCAGAAACACGATTGGGAGCCGAAAGAAGCCGTGGATTACATGAAACACAAGAGACCACACATTCTTCTGCGGTCTAAACAGTGGGAAGCGATCGGCAAATACTACGAGGAAAACATCGCCAATAATAGCAAACAAACGGACGTTAACTTAACATAAAGTTTGATTCATTAGAGTTTAATTTATTCATAAGAAACCAGTTTTAATTATAGACTTTTTTTGTACTATTCATAGGATTTATAAATAATATTTTTATTAATGTTTGAAAGTATTATAAATGATATTATTTTCTGTTGTCATAAGTTGCCAAACCTTTGCGTATGAGTTGTTTCTGTAATTAAGACGTTATAGGATTTTGTCGTTTTTGAAAAAGTGAATAATTTGCTATGAATTTAATTATGAGTTTTCCTTTTGTTTGTCACAAAATTAGAAATTGAATTGTATTTTGAAATACTGTATGGTTTTTGAGGAAAATATTGAAATACTTGTTAATGAATATTGATTATATTTTCCAAAATAGATGACATTTTCATGTAATCAATAAAACATAAAAAGCAGTTTACATTGACTCAACTTATTCTTAATGTTTTTGTCACCAATTCACTCATTGACACAATCGGTGGTCAGGTATACTATAATTACATTCTAAATTTACCGGTAATTGCTTACAAGTTAAAATAACTAATCAATATGATTTAAAATCTAATTTTTATTCATTAAATTAACCCAAACTAATACTAGTTTTAAAAACATTGTTCATTTCCTATCACTTGATTTGAATGAAACAAATTCCGTAAANATTTACCGGTAATTGCTTACAAGTTAAAATAACTAATCAATATGATTTAAAATCTAATTTTTATTCATTAAATTAACCCAAACTAATACTAGTTTTAAAAACATTGTTCATTTCCTATCACTTGATTTGAATGAAACAAATTCCGTAAACATTTTAATTCAATAATTTATTCTTGAATTTAATACCCATTAGTATTCAAATGGAAACCAAATAAAACAAACAAAAACTTTACTCTAAAATCTAAACCTAAAAATAATTTCCATTACAATCAATCGTTTATTAATACATTCATCGGTGGTCTGACATTATCTCATATTTTAGCGGCCATTCTGATGGC